GTCGGCACGGTCCGTCTGGCCTTCACACTCCACGTTCCTCGAGCCGCTGTCGAAGCTGCTGCTGGGGAGACGTCGATCCTTGTTTTTTGCCGCACAGTCCTGTTGATTGTCAGCACTTCTCCAGTCGATCTACGCTCCAGATCTGTGCGCTGGAACGTTCTCGAAAGGGGAGAGCAAGATCACTTGCTTCCAACAAATACATGTTTTGCGTCTGATTGAAACAGTGCAAGATTATTGCTCTGATTTATAATCTTCCTCAAAAAAGACGCTACAGAGTAGGGCTTTTCATAGAACTGACAGTGTTCAGTACGGGATAAGCCAGAAGAAAGCTCTAGGTAAATCAAAGCTTTAGGTTATCACAATTTTACTGTTCGTGCATTGGAAGAACATCGAAAAAATTCCCCTTCAACTGACTGAGAGTGAAATTTTGGTCCACTGGTTTGAGCACTTGTAGAATTCAGCCTAATTCAAAAGGCTTTTTATACCAAGCCCGAATTGCAGTAACGTTTTCGTATTTTGCAATGACATCCGGAAATGTATATTGCATATTTTGTTTTCCTGATACGCGGTATATTCTTTCTTTTTTTTGTAGTTTTGTGCACCTTTTTGGTAATATATGCAGTATCAGCAAAAAAAAAAAATATATGCATATATACGCAGTATCAGCAAAAAAAAATTTTTTCGATCAGTAGTTTGGGCAGTGGTTTTTTCTTTTAAATCTCTTTTTTTTGGCTTAAACAGCGAACTAATTTACCCCGTAGAGGAGATAAAGAAGCCTGTGTAGAACGGTTCTCCTTAATGAGGTAAACCAGAAACCTGCATAGAACGGCTCAATTTATACGCTTTGTATTAGGATCTTTTTGGATTTTCCGGTGTATTTTACGAATTTATTTCTGATCGTATCAATACAAATGCCTATAAATAAGTATAAAACTGTGTTTTACTGTTGACTGGGTCTGTTCTAGACGATCGCGGTTTTAGTTGTGCTGTATAATGGTTGGTGCACCATCGGATGATTTGTTTGCAATGCATAGTTCAAGTGTTTTGGCAAAACTACTCACCGGACAGCGTATAGATACGATTGGTATTGTACGTGCATATCAGATCTACAGGAGCCTTCCCGAAGCAGTACAGGTAGACTTTACACACACACACTGCGAGCTTAGTGAATTTTGCCATTTACGAACTTATTAAGATTTTATATTTGCTGTCCAAAAAACCGTTTTTAATGATTTTTACCTCTTTTGATTCCCAAAATTTTTGAAATTAAAACCAAACATTGATAAGATTGTGTGGAAAATTTTCTAGCGCATTTTTTACCACCATAAAATCAAAAAATTAAAAAGATATTGAGCTGAAATACCCTGGTTTGTTTTATTTTTAAGATGCTCAAGTTTTCTTTGGTAAATTGGTGATTGAAATTTTCTTAGGTAAATTAAATTTTTCTTAGATTAAATTTTTCTTGCGTTTTGGATAAATTAGTGACCAAAATTTTTCTTAGATAAATTTACATTCCGAATAAAAGTGAATATTTAAAGGATTCAGGACTTTCACTCATGGTGACGAAGAAAGTGCCTGTAGAGCAAGTATATGAACGATCTGAAAAATGTAACCCCCACTTCCTTCCTCTCTCTCC